ATAACGTTATTATGTAAAGCGGCATAATATGTGCCCCTGTCTCAATCATTCGTCATTGCTACTGATATGGAGGTCTCCGGTTCCATGCCTTGTCTAAGACCTGTGTTTGGGTGTGCTGTGATGGGTTCGGGACTTCCTTTCCTTTTTCTCGATCCCTGCATTTTGCGCACTATACGTGGTGCTGTGATCGGGTGCCCGTTCCATTCTATGGTTCGTGTTTTAGTTTGCTGTATGTATATGGTAAAATATGATGGTGTGAAGTTCCTGATCTTAATTTGAGGTATGCGTAGTTAATTATACTATAGTATTCGTCATCCATCATTGAACACTTGTTTACCCGGGACGTCTTTCTTTGGAGTGCACGTGAGAGCCATTTATTAAATAACTGCACTTTCTTAAGGGTACAAGTCACAAAGACGCAAAATATTTAATGAATCGGAGACGTATCGGTTTGCTGCGTTCGAGAAATATGAGAACTTATGTTTTCTTGTCTTGTGTACTTTCAGGTAGCACAACGAACTATAGCGTGAACCAATGGCGAAGCGGAGTTGTGATGTGATGCTTCAAGATGGCGCCACCGTCGTTTTCCTGAAGATGATGTCGCCACTAACGATGGCTCCTTTAGAAGATACCAACCTAGCTTAGGTTAACTCAATAGAAAGCGCGAAGCAGCTCCCGGTTGTTTAAAAGGCTCTTTCGTTCTGCATTTAGAAAAAATCAAGTTGTCCTTAAATAATTTATAACAAATATCAACTTTCATTTGTGCAATTCAATAATCACCAAAAATCACGTTTGCCGTTGGACACCAAATACTAGCGGTAAATTCAATGTCAACCGATTTTCAGTTTGAGATAAGCTTGATACTTTCAACAACCGGTATATAGCTGTCGGCAATTCATTTTGTTTTGAGTTGACGTAAGTAAGTCAGCATCGAGGAGCAGATGACGTTGATAATTCTAAGCAACAAAGACCATGACAGACGTTGCCAAGCAACACACAACTGACGTTGGCAAACAGGGACATACCATTGACGTTGCTCAGCGAGGTATTTTGACATTACTTAACAAAGTGATATCGTTGACGTTACTTAGCAACAGACGTTGACGTTGCTAGGCATCGGAAACATTATTGACATTAAAAAGCAGTAGGGATATAATGACGTTTTAACTAACTGCGAGGCAAGTGCAAAGATATCCCCCCTTATCGACACCAACTAGTAAGGGTTACCAAGTCTTCGTAATATGTCAAGTGGGTAATGTTTACACAGAACAGTCATGCAGAATTAACTGGGGCCAGATGACTTTCCAATATTGTTTCGACAGCTCTATTCTCATTTGCTTTACGTACCAAAAAGGGTATTTAGAATGAATTTAGTGCAATTATTTTTTTGATTTGACAGGAGTAATCGGAACATTTTGACGGAACGACATGCTGATATAAAAATAAACCTAATTAGCGACAAAATTTAGGATTGCATGCATTGACATTTTAACTTTTGACCTTTCACAACCTTTATCAGTTCTTCGTCCAATCCAATATTGTGTGCATGTTGTGCGTTTGTGATGTATAACTGCGCCGTGTTTGAGTGAGTGTGGAATAGGTATGCATATGGAAGTACGTGTTTGAGAGATTGTTTATAAGTGTGTGTGCGCGTGCGGGTAGGTGTGCGCGTGAGAATGGTGAAGGTCGAGAGAAGTCTGCATGGGCATGGTGTCATACATGTTTTTATTTTCAGCGCACATCCAATACTTTCCCTTGTTTTATCCATTTTAATGCACACGTTAATTCCTTGTTTCGTGTCATACTTCATTTTCCTATTTCAGCTCTCATTTTCGTCCGTTTAAAGTTTCTAAACGCAAATCCCAATATTTTCCCTAGTCTTCACCGTGTGCCTTCCACTGACTAAATTGCCAACTAAAAGATCGATGTTGGCTTATGTTTGCATTTCTAAAATCTACAATAATCGATGTTGCCTCGCTCCGAAAACTGAATGCCTTAAATATATAAAAGGATATTCTACAAATTTGTAAAGCCCCAAAAGAAACGAAACGAAATTATTGCAGAGTTCAATCATTTTAGAATTTCCCCGACAAAAAGATCCTTCACAGGGGAGACAATCATGGAGAGGCGAGATGTTGCGCGTGTTCAAACCATCACGGGATTTCAGCTTTCCAGACAGAAGATTAACATTCCAGGGGAGACAACTGAGGAGAAAGTACCCACGCTTCCTTATCACTTGTTCGTCACAGTCTGATTATAAAGCACTGGACGGAGAACTGATAAGGGCTTGTGGGTAAAAAGTCAGCCATCTTGATTTTGAAATCGAAATTGCGAGGTTTTCAGCTATCGCTACAAGAACCGGACCCTGATTACAACATGCGATTCTCTCCTGCAAAGAAAGAAGAAAAGGAACGTAACGCATATCAATCTACAACACTTTAATTATTTTACTCACACCTGCTGCTAGGACTGAAGAACGGGGTTTTAATCGGTCGATTAACATCAGAAAGAGATCATATCGCCGAATGTGTCGAAAAAGTTTGTGATCCTGTATCGAGCATAATGTAAACTGTTATTTAGTAAAAACTTGAACAAAACTTTGTTTAAAAAAGACATTTGAACGCATTTTATTTCTCTCATTGGGGTTTTAAGCATACATTTATTTACGAATAAAATGCTAAGAAATGCTTCCAATGTTGAGAACGATGCAATAAAACCTAAAACCTGGGGGGAAATGACATGTATGATTGTACATGTATACATTATGAAAAGAAATCATCCTGGATATTTGAAATATTTCCTAAAAAGTTATTTGTAATAATTACTCTATTAAAACTGATTCCAAGGGATTTTGAGCACACCACATATTTTCTACACGATATCTAACCGCATATGATTTAAACATTGTTCGTGTACACTATATTATAACGTGATAAAGTGTTTGTGTAACTATAACGTGATCAAGTGTTCGTGTACACAATAGATAAGGTGTTCGTCTACACTATATTATAACGTGATCAAGTGTTTGTGTACACAATATATAACGTGATGAGGTGTTCGTGTACACAATATAACGTGATAAGGTGTTCGTGTAACTATAACGTGATCAAGTGTTCGTGTACACAATATATAACGTGGTAAGGTGTTCGTGTACACAATAAATCACGTGATAAGGTGTTCGTGTACACTATATTATAACGTGGTAAGGTGTTCGTGTACACATTATATAACGTGGTAAGGTGTTCGTGTACACAATATATAACGTGGTATGTTATGGTTGTAAACGTGTTGGCTAATCTTGCCCGACACGGACGGCACGAGTTTCACTATCCACAGTTCATCACTTCCCGCTTAACTATCTTGGCATTGCCATATATTTGAATCGGTATATTCAGGCTAAACTTTTATGCATAATGACTTAACAGAGCGACACGGACATGTATCCATTGTCAAGATTATTTATTCTTGTTTTTTTTTTTTTATTATGATTTACGGTCATACAAACAAATGGTATTGACGTTAGATAGTAAACTCACCAAGAAAATCATTTTGTACTTGATTGAACGTAGACTTGTTCAAAGTAATCGGTACACGTTTCAAACTTTTATTGCAAGTATGTGATTTTCTAAGAAGTTGTAAAAAACACATGTGTTTATTTTATTGTTACAATGCTGGACCAATCGGAGAGCTGCTTTGCATATCAATATGGACGACGCCCGGATGTAACCTACCCATGATAAATCGGTAACAATAAAAACTGTTCTGTGTATTTTAAGAAATAATAAAACTATTTTATCAGTGCTGTGTTTATACTTGTCTTGTGGAATATGTAACCAGTCATGTTTCCCGCAGTATTGCAGCTGATTTATTATAGTTTTGTTACCCATGCATCAAACATGATTCCTTCCAAAACATTGAATATGTAGTATGAATTTATTTTCAGCCACGGATAAAAAAAATGTCAACGGATTACTTTATAAAAAATATATAGCACTCTAATCGATGAAAAACATATCTTGTTGTATTTATATTTTTAACTTGCATTATATTTCCAAAAGGGATATTTCCATGCCCGATAACGCTTACACCGCGAATAAATGTGGGAGGAAACCGGAGTACCCGGAGAAAACCCAAGGATTTGGGCGGGTGATCCCATACCTTGACTGATGTGTTGGCCTTTTATACCTACCTGATGAATCATACGATAGTGATGCAGCTAGTTTTCGGGCCACTTAATACAAAATCCTGTATTTCGCACTGTGATAGTTGAGGATCGCTGTCTCGCTACACTCTGGTTTGTATACGCCCATCGGGACGTATTATGGTCTGGGAAGCGTCCGTCCACACTTTAAGATAAATTGTTTAAATATAAGTGCAGCGTAATTGTCCACATTTAAGGGGTTTATATCAACTTCGTGTAAAATGCCACCCCAATGATGATGTTTACGAGAAGGGAGAAAAGCTCTCAATGTCGGAAAAATCCTTGCATCAAAAACCACGTTTCTAGTTGATGTGCTTGGTACCTTTGGAAAGATGGATACATTCTCTTTTCTCTTTTTGCACGTAAAATCGCAGAAATGATCTCGAGTTTTTTCCTCCACAAAAAACACGCCATTTCCGAGTTTCAAAGTTTTTCTTTGTCATAGAGACACTTTCTGCATATTCGTGAGGTGACGTCAGCCACTTGCCGAACCATGTCGGTGTTGATCGGTTTGCTATTTAAGGGAAACATGGCTGCGTTTCCAGTAAATCACACCAAGAGTTTCGGCACGAGGCTGACGTCAACCTCGTGAATATGCAAAATGTGGCTCTATGACTGCGAATAACTTTGAAACTAAGAAAAGGCGTTTCACATGTTCATATCACCACATTGACCGCAACAGAACTCTGTGATTAATAAATGGTTGCGGACGTTTAAGAGAGTATTGAAAACATTGAAACTGAATATAACAAAAGTGCCGAATAAATGGAACTCTTTGCTCAAATTAGGTACATTTAGAATGTATAACATCCGCAATTACAACGTACAAAGGTCAAATTTCATTTCAGTTCCCACCACACAGTTACAGTTCCAACCACACGGTTACAGTTCCCACCACACGGTCACAGTTCCCACCACACACCACACAGTTCCCACCACACACCACACAGTTCCCACCACACAGTTCCCACCACACGGTTCCCACAATCCACCACACAGTTCCCACCACACGGTTACAGTTCCCACCACAGTTCCCACCACACGGTTACAGTTCCCACCACAGTTCCCCCCACACGGTTACAGTTCACACCACACAGTTCACACCACACGGTTACAGTTCACACCACACGGTCACAGTTCACACCACACTGTTACAGTCCACACCACACAGTTCACACCACACAGTTCCCACCACACGGTTACAGTTCCCACCACACGGTTACAGTTCCAACCACAGAGACACGGTTACAGTCCACACCCCCCTGTCCCAGTCCACACCACCCAGTTCACACCACACGGTCGCAGTTCACACCACCCTGTTACAGTCCACACAACACAGTTCACACCACGCGGTTACAGTTCCCGCCACACACCACACACCTCCCACCACACGGTAACAGTTCCCACCACACACCACCCAGTTCACACCACACGGTCGCAGTTCACACCACACGATTACAGTTCACACCACACCGTTCACACCAAACAGTTCACACCACACAGTCCCCACCACACACCACCCAGTTCACACCCCACAGTTCCCACCATCCACCACACAGTTCCCACCACACATCTACCACCACACAGTTCACACCACACTGTTCACACCACACACCACACAGTTCCCATCACACGGTTACAGTTGCCACCACACAGTTCACACCACACGGTCACAGTTTCCGACACACGGTTACAGTTCACACCACACGGTTATAGTTCCCACCACACAGTTCCCACCACACACCACACAGTTCCCACCACACGGTTACAGTTCACACCACACACCACACAGTTCCCACCACACGGTTACAGTTCCCACCACACAGTTCCCACCACACACCACACAGTTCCCACCACACAGTTCACACCACACAGTTCACACCACACAGTTCACACCACACGGTTACAGTTCCCACAACACGGTTACAGTTCCCACCACACGGTTACAGTTCCCACCACCCGGTTACAGTTCCCACCACACGGTTACAGTTCACACCACACACCACCCAGTTCCCACCACACGGTTACAGTTCACACCACACACCACCCAGTTCCCACCACACGGTTACAGTTCACACCACACACCACCCAGTTCCCACCACACGGTTACAGTTCCCACCACCCGGTTACAGTTCCCACCACACAGTTCCCACCACACCCCACACAGTTCCCACCACACACCACACAGTTCCCGCCACACAGTTCCCACCACACAGTTCACACCACACAGTTCACACCACACGGATACAGTTCCCACCACACGGTTACAGTTCCCACCACAGTTCCCACCACACGGATACAGTTCCCACCACACGGTTACAGTTCCCATCACACGGTTATAGTTCCCCCCACACGGTTACAGTTCCCACCACACAGTTCCCACCACACGGTTCACACCACACAGTTCCCACCATCCACCACACAGTTCCCACCACACATCTACCACCACACATTTCACACCACACTGTTCACACCACACACCACACAGTTCCCATCACACGGTTACAGTTCACACCACACGGTTACAGTTCCCCCCACACGGTTACAGTTCCCACCACAGTTCCCCCCACACGGTTACAGTTCACACCACACAGTTCCCACCACACGGTTACAGTTCCACCACACGGTTACAGTCCCCACCACAGTTCCCACCACACGGTTACAGTCCCCACCACAGTTCCCACCACACGGTTACAGTCCCCACCACAGTTCCCACCACACGGTTACAGTTCACACCACACGGTTACAGTTCCCCCCACACGGTTACAGTTCCCACCACACAGTTCCCACCACACAGTTCCCACCACACGGTTCACACCACACAGTTCCCACCATCCACCACACAGTTCCCACCACACATCTACCACCACACATTTCACACCACACTGTTCACACCACACACCACACAGTTCCCATCACACGGTTACAGTTGCCACCACACGGTTACAGTTCCCACCACACGGTTACAGTTCCCACCACACACCACACAGTTCCCGCCACACAGTTCCCACCACACAGTTCACACCACACAGTTCCCACCACACGGTTACAGTTCCACCACACGGTTACAGTTCCCACCACAGTTCCCACCACACGGTTACAGTTCACACCACACGGTTACAGTTCACACCACACAGTTCCCACCACACGGTTACAGTTCCCATCACACGGTTATAGTTCCCCCCACACGGTTACAGTTCCCACCACACAGTTCCCACCACACAGCTCCCACCACACGGTTCACACCACACAGTTCCCACCATCCCCCACACAGTTCACACCACACGGTTACAGTTCCCACCACACAGTTCCCACCACACAGTTCCCACCACACGGTTCACACCACACAGTTCCCACCATCCACCACACAGTTCACACCACACGGTTACAGTTCCCACCACACAGTTCCCACCACACACAACACAGTTCCCACCACACACCACACAGTTCCCACCACCCACCACACAGTTCCCACCACACACCACACAGTTCCCACCACACACCACACAGTTCCCACCACACGGTAACAGTTCCCACCACACACCACACAGTTCCCACCACACAGTTTCCACCACACGGTTACAGTTCCCACCACACAGTTCCCACCACACACGACACAGTTCCCACCACACAGTTTCCACCACACGGTTACAGTTCCCACCACACAGTTATAGTTCCCACCACTATAATCGAGTCGGTGTAAGTAGTATACCTAATCTATACACACACATCCCTCTGCTTTTCTAAAGTTGGATATAACTGTAGCACAGTTGGGCCAGACCACTTCCGCTGACAAGGTGTTGTAATCCAACTCTATGTTGGGTTTTTTACACCCCTTCACCTTTATCATTTTTGCATAAAAGTCCTGCAAAATATGGTTTTCTTTTCAGAAATTATTTCTTTAAGTTATAATCTGCCTGGAAAGATCTGGCTGGCAGCAGTACGGTTTGGTTTGGTTTAATTTTGCTTAACGTCCTATTTACAGCTAAGGTCATTTAAGGACGTGCCTCCGTGTGTGTAGTGTATGCGTGCTTGCGTGTGTGTATGTAGAAGACAGGGTATGTTGGTGTGCTTGCCTCCATGTGATTGCGCGGATCTGATGCCGACTTTATAGTGCTATCTCACTGAAATACCACGCCGAAGGCACCCAGCACAGCATTCTGCCCGGTCACATTATACTGACAACGGTTGAACCAGTTGTTGCCATTCCCCTAAATGCTGAACGTTAAGCAGGGAATTACAACTACCATTTTTAAGGACTTTGGTATGTCCCGGTCTGGGGACAGAACCTATTGCCTTCCTCACTTGGGCGTGCGCTCAACATTAAAGCCAAAAGTGAGGTTCTGCCAAGCAAGGCGCTAGGAAATCAAAAGTAGTTAGAAGTAAAAAGAAAGATAAAGATCCAAAAATACTGCAATCGGTGCAGCGGATTTATTTTCGTCGCTTTTTTGTTACCACACATTTCAGTAGACCCACCTCCGTGTGACGTCACGGTCTGCAACACGGATGTCTTGCCGCACCTCTCTCTAAAATTACTATGCAAACTTGATATTTTTTGTGTTCGTTGAGTCAGCTTTACTGTTCGTTGAGTCAGCTTTACTGTTCGTATGATGTCAAAAATTCCAATATTGTACATAATTTGTACAAATCACGATGTATTAATTCCATTTACATATTTTTTAATTGCCCAGGAAATTTTCACAAATGATAATTTTTACAATACATTTTATAAAACTTTTTAGATATTACAAAATATATAAATTGATATGTGTGCCCTCTCTGTCTTCATGATGCTTTATGAATATTTTTGATGAATAAATTGATTTTTCATCTGAAATGCAAGGCACATTTATCTAGGCTCATGCACGGTAATTCTGCCTACAGGTAGTTGTGTTATATAGAATACGCGTAGTCGGGTAACTTGTTTTCTATCGTAATATTATTATCAAGGATTTAATGGAGTACAGTATCTTTATTGCCATCAGAATACCTCCAAAGTACATAAATTGCATCAAACATGTACTTGAATACCGCTAAAATGCCAATTATTTATTAAATGTATTCTCAAAAGGTGAATTTCGGCACCAGGATACAGATAACCTTTACCTGTTATTAACATGGGCCAAGGTTTTGTTCTAGGCAGTGTATCCATACGTCCTGTGCACAGGGACCTGATGCTCTGTTACAGCTATATTTGGATTCAATCGAAGGTGTCATCATCATCATTGGGGTGGCATTTTAACCGAAAGTCGATCTAACCCCCCGACGTATAAAATTTCTCTGAACACCACAGTTTAGATCTCAGCTCTCTGTGATCCTGTGCACAGACTGCAAGTGAGTGCAATTCAAGGAACCATCCGGAACACTTCGGGTCTTTCTGCCAGAAAAAACACATCGATAAGTTTTTTTTCAATGCCCGACGTGTTCCGGTGCCCCTAGAATATCGGGAAGGAGGGTAGCGTTGCATGCAGTCTTGTTCAATGTTGTGTACTTAAGAATTTTGTAAACTCGCTTATTTCGAATTGAACTGCAATTTTAGATTCTGTGGTAATTTACAGATTACATATAAATTGCTATTTTATATCACACACTCGAGAACAAAATAGCCTTACGGTGGCCCCAAAATTTACGTCAGAGCATATAGTACTCCGGGGATCCGCTGGTAGTATTTAAAACGTCAATTGTTAGACGGTGGATATTTTTCGGTGGGGCCGTTTAGGATAGTTTTGGGATTCATTGCGTCACTTCCTGTGGTGACGGAAGTGCTTTGCTGTTTTTGGATGGTTCACAGAACAGTTTCTACAAAATACGAACTTGTCTTTAGGTACGAACAAACTGTGATTGCACTCTTTGGTACGAATGCATGTCTCAAGATGGCGACTGTCTACGCAGTTCGTAACCTCTCGTTATACATCGACGCTATACATACATGAACACTCTACTGTTCATCATTTTAAAAGATATTTCGGGTGTGATCGGGGGATTGGCGTCAACATTTAAGTTTTGCTATTCACGACAGAGACGTATATTCTACATAGCTTTATACGTCTCTGATCGGTCCCAATATATAAAGGTAGCTATGCGCATGACCGTAAATGCCACGACTGAAATCCTTCAAAATTGCGTCGTCAGACTAGCTGTTACTGTCCCTATGTTCTGGAGGTTTGTCGTGAACAGAGACGTATAAATCAAGTAGATGTACGTCACTGGAACGATTACCACGATGCACTGTCATACAGAAACACGGAATGCAAATATTACATAGATACACGGCATGCACGAAAATCCTACCAAGTCTGCGATGTAACGACACTTCTCATTGGTTAGTAACGATGTAGTACTGGACAATATACCATGGCACATCTGGTTTTTTCTGTGCATATCCGGAATTGGCCCTCAAACGGGTAAAAACCCAGTGTCGAGGTAGGGAGAAGAACAAGAAAAGGCTAATCAAGGATAAGAACACAACCAAAGGTCAGGTGGTCATCCTGGTTATAAAAGGTATATTCGAAACCATCCAGAGGATATATCGCGACCATGCCATAGCAACAGCCATGAAGCCCCAGAAGACGCTCCGTAATATTCTAGTACAAGGATAAAACACCTAAAGAAAACGTCGCAGAATGCTTATACAAACTCGGATGCAAAGAACTGCGACGCATCGTATATTGGCGAGACTGGAAGGAGATTTTGGGTCCGCCTTGGTTGACATCGGAAAGATACGGAAACCAAAGAGGGAAAGAAATTCACATGATCAGAAAGGAAACAGTCGGGAGTCCCTGGTTAATAAATCGGCAATCACAGACCATGTCACGCAGACAAATCATGTGATAGACATGGATAACTCCAAAGTATTGGACAGAGAAAGCAATCTGTTCAAGCGGTAGATAAAGGAAGCAACCTGGATACGCCGCAGTGGGCCAATTCTAAATCGAGATGAGGGGGCTCACAGACTCGCATATATATGACCAAGTATTAAACAAAGCGTAGCCGAATCGAGTAATTTCGGTGCATATATAACAATTCATTGTACATACGCTTACAGCGTAGCCGAATCGACATCGATTTACGTGGACAACTCGTATATATTTTACACATTAGTGTACATACGCTTCACGGGTCATTTGTCTGATGGAGTCGACAGAGTACATACCGTCATCGAAACGTCACATATAAACACTTATTGGTTGTGCTATATGAATCTTTTCACGTATCCCCGAAGTCTTAGCACGCATGGAATATTCAGAGAAAACGTTTTTCTCCTGCCCACACAGTTACAACAAATCAGGTGGGTATAAAATGGTCTAGGGTGGATGTTGCGGTACCGTGCTGTAGGATGCAAGTGAGGTGGCAATATAAATAATGCCGTTGGAAGCACGGTCCCACTACAAACAGAACACAATACATATCCAGCACACACGCAGGCATACACACATAGGGAGATATTAGCCAGGTGGCATAGGACTAGTATTTAGTGCTTGATATGGCAGCTTCTGTGAATTCCTCAAAATTGTATTTATTAATATATATATGCTAATTGTATTTATTGTATAAATTGTATATCTATGTACTGTAAAGCGCTTTAGAGTGACACATTCTAGCTAGATAGGGCGCTATACCAAATGTTGTATATTATTATTATTATCATTCACACACCGTGGCACGTCCTCGATAGCGCAAAGGGGTGTATCCCCTTGAGTATGGAAGGTGACAATGACAGTGCTTGTTATACTGTTAACAAGGAACGCCGCTGGTACACGTAGTTGTTGTCCTATTACTAAACTAATTTAGTTCGTTATTAAATCTTCAATTTTATATAGTATTATATATAATTGAAGATTTACTAACGAACTAAATTAGTTGCTATTTGTTATATCTTTCTGAATACAACACATTTACATTTCAAGTTACATCATTTTTTTAAGAAACGTCTTCTATTAAACCTCTTGATTTGCTAAAAGCCTGTCGAGTTCACATCAAAAAACGTTTCACCGAACTTATGAAGGAGGTGATTTGATATTGGTATACATTGATTGCATGTGTTGACGAACGATGTCAATAAATTGAAGCTATGAATTGATTGAAATAAACATCTGGTATATATTTAGCATGTGTTGAAATTGATATTATGTGTCGACTTTGGAAGCCAAATAGAGCGTGTAGAGTTTTCAGTCCAAAATTGGAGATAGGGTCTTTCATCCACAGGGACCTGATAATTTGTTACAGCTATATTTGAATATAAACTAAGGGGTTCAGGGTAACTTTGCGTGTTTTAGGGGGTAAGATCGACTTGCGTTAAAAATGCCACCCCAATGATTATTTACCGAAAGTCTATCTAAACCCCTTAAAAAATTACTCTGAACACCTTAGTTTAGGTCCAAATATAGCTGTAACAAATTATCAGGTCCCTGTGCTTTCATCAAGGCGAGATTTACCAAGTAGTTGATTTTCCCCAGCCATAGATAATCATCCCTAAACTTTCGCAGTAGTGGTAGCTTATGTTCTGTTCAGCTCTCGTTTGTTTACGATATCAAACCAAATTACAGAACATATATAATACGTCCCAAGCAATGTAAACAAACAATATTTGGACGACTGTACACTTCATCAGAAATGATAAAATCGCGCAGCTTGTTGGAGGCATCACGTGACAAATGTCTGCACGCGCAAAAGAACAGCCTAATTTAATACAAATGTAATTAG